GTCATATCTCTCAATTTCTGGCGGTTCGTTGCCACCTGCTTTACGTCTTGGATGTTTGTTAAGCCCATGTTTGAGCCTACCCTGATGATGGTTCTACGTAGAGTCTCTCTTGGTCTTCCCCGTTTTATTTTCCCTTTCGGTGTTTATATGATAATGTGCTTACTACCGAATAAAAATAAAATCATATTTCAAATATGATATGTTTTTATCGCTAGTTGCGTGGTCCTGTTGGGGTTAAACTTCAGTCAGTCACTCAGTCAGTCAGTCTGTCACTTGATGAGTCACTTAGTCAGTCAGTCACTCAGTCTATCAGTCACTCAGTCAGTCACTCAGCCAGTCAGTAACTTATTCAGTTACTTAGTCTATCACTCAGTCAGTCACTCAGTCAGTCAATTACTTGGTAAGTCAGTCAGTCACTTAGTCAGTCACTCAGTCAGTCACTCAGTCAGTCAATCACTTAGTCAGTCAATTACTTGGTAAGTCAGTCAGTCACTTAGTCAGTCACTCAGTCAGTCACTCAGTCAGTCAATCACTTAGTCATTCACTTAGTAAGTCAGTCAGTCACTCAGTCAGTCCTCAGTCAGTCACTCAGTCAGTCACTCAATTTGTCAGTCTTTCAGTCAGTCAGTGAGTAAGTCACTCAGTCGCTTAGTAAATCAGTCAGTAAATCAGTCAGTCACTAGTCAATCAACTTAGCACATTGACAACTGCACAGGCAGGAAACTGCAGGCGTCCAAGCTAACGGGTTCGTCGCCCCTGGTGTGCAGTGACAGGCAGCATCACTGCCTTCATTATTAATTGAAACGTAACTATGTCTCAAACATTTTAGCACCAAACGAATCACCATATGCATCTTGGCCATTCCAAGGAAAATATGACGTTCCTGTTGTTCCTGTTGTCTTCTATCGCAAATAGATGTTTTGTGATAGTCCGTTCAACAAATGGTGACTTCAGACTGTTAAATAAATCTCCAAAACTCGTGAATAGATAAACACGAATTTGTGTACACGGCCTTAGATTTGCTATGTCCTTATGATTTCATTATTGACAATTGAACAAAGGCTGCTGTTTTCTTACATTGAGGAATTTCTTAGATCTTTTTCGGACTAATAATTTATAATTTTCTGGACCCATTTTGGGGGGAAGGGGACTTAAGCCCATGGCTTGTCAGCTCCCTCCCCCCTCCACCCAACACACCTGTGGCAAGAGGCAGCAAGGGGTTTGCTGAAATCAGATTATAGTGTAAGGACTACAGGCGCAGATATCGCAGCCCTGCTGCAAACCCCAGGACAGCCTACAAACCGCTCTCTTAAAGCAAAAGCAGAGAAATACACACCAACCTAATGCCTTGAAAAAACATGAAAGCATTTACCTCAAACACTAACCACAAGATTCCCTTGTAGATTACTACAAACGAAACATTCCTACAGCATGTGTGATTGGGATGAAGTATATCACAATATATAAACATTAAAACAAAACCGCTGGCCTGTGAAATATGTCAACAGTTAATGTAAAATATTTCGCAAACAGAACATGCAGACATTTGCGATGACGTACGTTCAAAGTAGGTCAACCGCGGACGTTCTGTATAAGAAGGGCTGTTAATATTGGAGTATTGTTTTTTTCTTTAAATATAGTCGGGTTTATGGTTGAGTTGGCAGAGGAAACAAAAAATGCATGTAAGTTATATTCTTGCTTGTAATTTTCAGAAATGTTCAATATAAATTTTACTGGAATTTTAAGAAAAATGCAATAAATAATGGCAGACAGTCGAACATTAAAATGAACAATTCAATGTAACACATTGGCATTGTTTCTTTGTGCGAATTAAATTGCTGCCCATATTAAAATATATTTTTACTAGTGGACTTAAAAAAAAAACTGTTAAGATTTAGAGCGTCGAAACAGGATCAAATAAAAATTAGCGTTTTATGTTTGAACACACACACACACACACACACACACACACACACACACACACACACACACATACACACACACATACACACACATACACACACACACACACATACACACACACACACATCCTAATCAAAATTATGTTTCAGGAAAAATGTGTTTGTTTGTTGTTGTTGTTTACTTACGTTCACCAGCTGTAAACTCCTGCGCAAATTTATGATTGTTCGTCCAGTTCTAAACTTTGGTCTTGTTCCAAGACTAGAGTTTTTCACGCACACCCGTTTTACATATCTGGCTTATTTGAATGCCGACTGTCGGTTTCTCACTTCACAGGCAGATGCATTCCGACTACGAAAGAAACACCCCTGATTAGTCACCTTTTACATAATACCTTTTAGGTGGGAGGGGGGGAGTAACCACCCCCACCCGCCATTTAAAAATGGGATGGGGGTCAAGGGGAAACAGTAGGTTTTAAAATAATTAAAACTGGCACAATAGTAATTAAAATTTATAGGGTACTACACACACACACACACACACACACACACACACACACACACACACACATGAGGGTAAGTCAATAAGTAAGTCACAAATGGTTACGGGAGGACAAGTAGTTTGTGGTTTCTAAAGGTATCATTAGGTGACATCAATATACAGCTTTGTATCTCCATTCATTAGGTGTCGCTAGGAGTTGCATGCGCTTTCGCAACACAGAAATAAAATGGCAAATGTGCTTACAGAGTGTACCCTCAAAGAACAACGCGCTGTTGTGCCCGCAAAGGATATTCATATGGAAATGCTTCCTGTTTGCGAATGACGCTGAAGTTGATTATAAAGTTGAAAACGAGGTTTATAAAACAGATGATGCAGTTTTATGCAGCATATTGGGGAGGACCGATAAAACGATGGGACAAGTGCATCAATGGTGGTGGAAATTATTTTGAAAAATAAAGCGACAGTGTATGTATAAATATATATATATATATATATATATATATATATATATATATATATATATATATATATATATATATATATATATATACACCATCATTTCCGTAGTGTAAGCAATCAGGACAAAATGTAGTCTAAAAACTCTTCTCACATTTAGATGAGGGTATCCGGTGTCACTTTATATGTTGTTGTTTTTAAATGTAGTTAGTAATTAAGCACTGCATCTTTTTTGAGGAGCTTCTGGCCGATCGCCTAACAACTCTGGGATCTCATCCCATGGATCAGGGTCCGAATCCTCGTTAATGTCAGGGGTTTTCCCCTCAGTGCTGAAGCAGGAGAAGGTGGAGGAGATAACTGAGAATACAAAAGAGTAGACAAACCAACAAACAAATTAATTGTCAAACACTGGCTATACAGTCCCTTTTAACAATGTTTTTATCTCTCTTTATTCATTTTTTTTTCATGGGTGTGTCTCATTTCAACTAGATTATGCACTTTACCACTCATGCTTTTGTGTTCTTTTATAGTATTCATAATATGCATATCATCATATGATCATAACATGCTTTATTAGTAAAATACAACTGCTGTGCAAAAGATGGTTGACTGGAAGGGCCGAATGTAAGACGGGCCTGCGTGCCCAATTTGTGACCCTTTGAAAATGAAGTTCGTTCGTTCGTTAGATTTAAAAAAAAAAGTATTATTAGCCTTCAAAGATGTAAGAATGAATAACTGTATGCAAGGTGTGGACTAGAAGGGCCTGCGTGCCCAATTCTTAACCCTTTGAAAATAAAGTTTGTTCTTTTGTTCGTACATACAGATAGACGCAGAGACAGACAAGTAGGCAGACAGGCAGATAAATTGACACATGCAGACAAAAAGGACGAATGATTTGTGATCAGTTTCTACGTGTTTGTTTCAGATTGCGAGGCATCTTTTACTTCTACTAATCTCACTCGCATGTAACGTGAGCAGCCACAATGACAGCACGAAATCCGCCCCTGACACAATGGATGCCACTTACTCCGAAATCTTGAAGGAACTAGAGAAGCTAAGGAAGACAGTGGCGGATCTTAGCCTGCAAGTTATGATGCAACAATCGTATATGGAAGAGAGGTTAGTCCTAAGTACACTGGTGAATAGTGTCGTCTTAACACATGGGCTCGTTGGGCACCTGTGCAGGCCCCACCAATGTAAGAACCCCACTGTTAATCTGTGTAATATGTTAAATATTATCGATTTAATTCCTATGGATGGTCGTCGTAAGGGCCCCAGCACACTGGCATGCCCAGGGGCCTATAATGCTGTTACTATGGCTGAGACCAATAATAAGAAATGATGTCGTCATAGGTCAAATCATTATCTTCACAATCAATGCTTTTTCCCAGAAAAATACCTAGGTATAATGTTCTTTTTTTGCTTTTCAAAACAAAGCTCATGGCTTTCACTGCTCTCGTACGAGGCAGCTGTAAAGGAAGATAGCAGTGCCTTTGACTTGACCACAAGTAGTCTGACTTTGGAGGTGATGGCAGTAACAAAAGCAATGATCTTTCTAGAGACACATATTTTTGCCCTGCATGCGTACTTTCTGACTCCGTGAATTTGCTTAAGAAGATCGACACAATGTGGATGCGAAGACAATGTTTCGAGTCTGTGAGGAAATCTTGTCTGACAGGAATCAGTTGAACTGTTCGTGTCAGGACACTCTGGGGTAAGAAGTAATGAACGAGAGGATTGGCTTGTTCACGGTCGACTCAAGAAAAGCAATGGACCAGACCGATGCTCTCAGTGCTCTTAACCGACGCAGGAAGAATGGATGATTCAGGAGTCGGCAGTGAATCGGACCCCTTTACAAGACTACAAGAACTTTTATGTCAAAAGAACTGCTTTAGCGGCATGAACACTCTAAAGGTAGCTAAAGAAGAATAGTAAACAAACACGGAATTTTGTGTTATCAGTGGTAACAGCTGAAAGAGATAATAAAGATGGGATCTGAGCTTTATGGACTTATCTCATATGCAGTGAGTATGTTCGACCGATTAACTAGCTATTATATCTTATAATGGCTAGAAACGGAAGGCGGTAAAGAAAACAACCGCTGACATAAAAGCTAAATAATAATGTCATGTTCACACCTGTTGTTCAAGGTTCATTTGCTTTTCAGAATTCGGACCGAAGGTAGCTCGGGAGTGACCCTTATTCGTGGGGGAAAGCCGGGATTCAAGAACTATGAATCTGCCTCCCATGTAAGCTCCTCAGCTTTTAGCATCCACGACCACTCAAACTATGATCGCACAATTGGTAGGTTTTTGGCATTTACTAAACATTAGTTTCTCATATTTACTAATCCTAAGTTATTTACATGTGCTAAACTGAAACTATTCGCATTTACTAAACTTGTGGTGATTAGTAAAAGTGAGGTGTTGGCATTTACTAAACCTACCATATTTCTCTAGCATTTGGTTTGAATTATTTGCATTTGCATATTTTAAATAGTTTTTTGCTTTGGTTTCAGACAAGGCGTCTACGTTTCTGTGACATGGAATCATTGTAGAATAGTAAGATTCGTGGAAACAGAGATTTATGGTGACAGAACTAATCACTGTCACTGTCAAAAGCAAATACTGCTTCGTGTATTGTGTGTGTGTGTTTGTGTGTCTTAGCTAAATAATTGTTACTTTACCTCTTCCTTTACTAAACAACTGTTATTTCTATCCTAAACAGTTACTAATGTAGTGATTTATATACCGCATTTGTAGCGTCAACTCATTCTATATTAAACAGTATTTTTTGTAGCTTTTAAAAAAAAAATAATAAACATCGTTACTGTAGCTTTTCTATTTTCTAAACTAAGCAGTTGTTACTGTAGCTTTTATTTGTCTGTAATAAAAGTTGTTACTGTGTTACAGTGAACGGTTGTTACTTAAACTCTTTAAATATGAAACAACTGGTACTGTTTTTGCAGTTTTGTATAGTAAAATTATTTAAATCTGAAAGACAGTGGGGAAAGTAACAAGGCTATTCTTCCTCAGAAAACAACAGGTAAATTGGCCACTGAATCAAGATGGACATTTGCGAGACTGTGAGACCGATGCAAGTCAGTGCGCAGGTCACCATCATTTAATTATCCCGGTCATTGACCGATACTACTTTTACGTGGTGAGTTGTCTACATCACTTGTGATGATGAACAACAACACAGACCACAACCGGTCAAACAGTACCGCCATTCAGCTCGCTAACAACATTTAGTAGAGTATACCCCAACGAGAGGCGCCACCGGCCGAACGGTTAAGAACGCTGGTCTCTCATGCGGGTTCGAATCCACTTTAAGGTTAGGGGTTAATGTTTTCTGGTGGGGGTAACAATAAAATCCTAACCTCAACAGTCCATAGCAGCCCTAAACATCGGTTCTAAATCCTCAGTCTCCAAGCTCAAAGACACCCCCCCCCCCCAATCACCCCCACCCCAGCCTACGCCACGGTAAGAGTGGCAAATGTAAACAGTAATTGGGGGGGGAAAAAGGGGGGGGGGGTGGAATACCTCAACGGCCAGTGGTGTGTAGAATAAGTGAAAATGGAAAAACGTGGGGAAAACAAGAATAGACCCTCTGCCTACCCAAAAGCATGTCGTAAGAGTCGACTAATTGGCGAGCTTCCTTTGAATTCGGAGTGCATCTGCCTGAGAGGCAAGGAACCAACAGTCTGGTTCAAGTGAATCAGATCTGTAAAACTGATGCACACGCAACACTCAGGTTCTATTATTATATTATATTATATTATATTATATTATATTATATTATATTATATTATATTATATTATATTATATTATATTATATTATATTATATTATATTATATTATATTATATTATATTATATTATATTATATTATATTATATTATATTATATTATATTATATTATATTATATTATATTATATTATATTATATTTATATTATATTATATTATATTATATTATATTATATTATATTATATTGTATTATATTATATTATATTATATTATATTATATTATAATATATTATATTATATTATATTATATTATATTATATTATATTATATTATATTATATTATATTATATTATATTATATTATATTATATTATATTATATTATATTATATTATATTATATTATATTATATTATATCTGAAGGGACATCCTCTATGGCAGTTTACCCCATACCTTTCTTAGTCACGACCCCTTTTCAAATTTCAATTTTTCCACGGCCCCCTGACATAAGTAAAATTATGACTATTCGTTTGTAAGAGATCAAAAAAAAAAAATAAAACTCGTGCATCTTCGAATATTTCGAGTCCTTCTTGTGAAGAGGTGAACTACAGATGGGTAGAAGATGTCAAAGCCGACCTTTAATACGATGTAAATATGTGTGCAAGCAGGACATGAATGATACAGGTGTTGAGATGGACTCGTGAAGGGTGATGACCTGACATGTGTTGTCTGACGAGAGCACATTAGGAAGGGAATGAGAGTGCAGAAAAACCATTATTGTAGAAAGGAGGAGAGCTGAGAGTCTGAGAAGACACACACTAAATACAAATGTTGGCAACAACGGTGCTGAAATCTTAAGCTATAATTGTGAAATACTTTCCTTTTTTTTAAACGTATGAGGGTATTGCTAGTGACATTCGCTATCGCCATAGGCTGTGAGTCCCATGTCTCCCTCCTCTTAGCTCGCTATAAAACAACAATATCTATACCAGTCATAATCTATCACTGATCCATTTCCGTGTCTATACTTGCTAACCAGGCCAGGGAGAATTTGGCGTTGTCTTGAACGGAGTCCCTTTCCGGACACGTCACAACGACTACAAACTTGTCATGGCCTCCAGACACTCTATGGAATACCACGATGTTGAAGATATACCTTTCCCTGGCGTGCCCCCTGAAGTGATCAACAAATCGACGCTTGAGGTAATTATGTGACTATATATGAACATCTAAGTAAAAAGAACAGAATTTGATTAGAGAACTTATCGTGTGCGTTCCCGAGCCCTGGTGTGCGGGAGAAAAAGAATAGACTGCCCCCCCACCTCCACCCACAAAAAGCACGCCATAAATGTGGACTAATTAGGTGTGTTTTATTCGAAGTCTGAGTGCATCTGCGTGAGAAGCAAAGAATCAAAAGCATGTATACAAAAAAGCTAGATTTGGGTAAGTATTTGCAAGCTAAACTGAAATTCTGGAACAGAACTAAAGAGACTAAAGACCAGAAATGGATTAACAACCAGAACTTTCCGCGAACTTTTATAGCCTGTCAACGCTGAGACATTAAAGAAGAATGTAAATTATTGAAGGCTTTAGTTTTGTTAATTTCTTGCTGATGATATGGTTATGCGATTCTTTGCTTTCACCGAACAGTTCTGGTTGTTCGGGCACGCACGCCCGTCTAACATTCTGACCTTCCAGTCTGCTGTCTTACGTTTCGTGCATACATTAAGTAATAATAGTAAACATAATCAACAGCATTAATATATTTAATACAAGCACTGGAATGTGTACATTTCTAACAGCAGTAATCCGTAGTAGTTATAATAAATCTAGGGAAAATGTGCGCTAATTCCAAAACATATAAATATTTTAAATCGTCTATGGGGACATGTAATCTGCGCTCACATAATATTCGAACAGTTTTCGATTGTATGCATAGTGACTCGTGGTATTTTTGATCTGTTATGTATCCCTGTCTAGACTGATGGACATGGGGGTGCAGCCTGGACCTGCAAGAAATGAACGTTTCACTATACGGACAAAACGTTTTAACAGGCGTCATCAGTTGTTTTACACTTGTGGAGCTTTTGAGGAGGATATCAGAGCACCTATGGATCTGTCCGAAGTGCTGTGATGATAATCCTTTGTAATCACTAATCACTAACCACATCTCCGTCTCTTCCAAATAAATTGTCCATAATCCTAACCTTATAGGAGCAAATTGTGGAGATGAGGGAGTGGTTTCGAGCTTTCCACAATCAAGACCGAGGTATACGAGACTACACTCAATACTTTAAACCAGTTCTATGTTACCTAGAAGGGGCTTGGACACTTGATGAAAGCATACAAGAGCCGTTTGCCAGTGACAGACACAGCCTGGATGCCACGTCTTGGATGGAGCTGCACAAGCGGGTGAGTTACATTTCATCTTCTCACAGTTAGTGCAGTGTGGTCAGTGCCAAATGCCAATCATTTGATGCTCTAAGCACTTTACAACATTATGAACCCCTGGCCAAACCAGTGTGCTGGGGCCCCTACGACAACCAGCCACGGGTATTGTACATGGTCACAGATTATCATGGGTTACCTATGCTAGTGGAACCCCCGGACAAGTGCCCATATGCTAAGATGGTATTGGTGGCGCCATACACATGTAATTCAAACTATAAACAATAATAAATTATAAAATTATCACTATCAAAATTAAAACATTATGTAAGACGAAAAATATTGTCTGTTTTAGTATACTTCAACTTTATTTAAATTTGAAACGTTTTCTCCTAAGTTTTGCTTTTAACTTGCAGTCTTTGATCAGAATCCAAACTAATCTTTTGTAGCACCTCTGCTTCTATATTTAACACAGATAATGCACGCAGCCTGCCTTGTTAAATTGGTATTCTGGCAGGATTTAAGAAAAGAAAAAGGGACATCAATTATTAAAATTGATGAAGAAGAATAAAATGACGAAGTATGAGTAAAAGAAGCGAGTAATGGAGAGAATGAGGAAAACCATTTGCAGTACAAAGTCACGTCAGATAATTTCTATGAAAGCGTCATGCTCATATAATTTCCATTGTTTTTTCCAGTATCGCTTCTTCGCTCTGTCGGGGGCAAAAAGTCGACAAGAGAACAACGCGTTTCTTCCCAGGGAAATTGTGTCTGTCAACATCACCACAGGTACACAAATAAACAGGTTTTTGATCATCAAATATAGCCATTATCGTCACCATCATCATCATTAATAACCACTTTTGTCGTTAGGCGGTGTGGGGAGGAACAGTCTGTGATCCATTGCTTGCTGCGCAAAAATGACTATCGTCCTTCATTGTCGAAGTAGAAGCTTTTTTTTAAATGTTGATTGATGATTGATGATTGGCACCTTTCCGTCTTTCCAGACGTTAGTGTTATATTGCGCTATGAGGAAGCGATGGCGAGTGTGACTAGCAAGACCCGCCCGTGTCAAGAAAAGTTTTCCACAATGATAGCATGGGATTTCAGGACCATTGTTGTCAACATTTGTGCTTAATCCGTTTCTTTTCCGACGCCCAGCTCTCATTCTTTCTGCAATCATTTCTTCCTTTACTCTCATTCTCTTCCTGAAATGCTATTTCCACACAACACGGTCCATGGCATTTTGTTCCCATGAGTCCACCTCAATACCTTATCATTCATGTCCCTTTTGCACACATCTTTATACCGTAGTAGAGGTCCGCCTCGACATCTTCTTCCTGTCTTTAATTCACCATAAACGATGCCCTTAGGGACTCTCTCATCCTTCATTCTCCAGGTGTGACCCGGCCACCTGAGCCTTCGTAGACTGAGCATGGAAAAGACTGTTGTAGTACCTGCTCTTTCCAGCACATCAGTGTTTGTGATTTTGTCCTGCTACTTAATGCCAAGTATTCTTCTTAGGCATCGCACGTGAAAGCTATTTATCCGTTTCTCCTGGTGTAAATATTTTAATTAAATAAATTGCCCGTCTCTCTAGCGTAGTTGGCTAAACCGGATTGCGCGGTGAGCGGGTGACGCACTCCTTGTGGTCCGGGTTCACTCCCGGGGGTGGGCAGAAAAGCCACATTTCTCCCAGATTTACGGTGTTTAAAATGGAATTAGGGCCGAAAGGTTGCGATATCCATAATACCGAGCCTAAGGGTTAACAACTCCTGGCTTCTTTATACTAAAACAAACATAATGTAATAAATCTATATTCTCCTAGGGTGACCTCTTGCTTTCACATCAGGTCTTTGCGTGTGTAGCGCCTGCATTGGTAGTTGTTTTCACTGTTTTCTAACTGGATGATAAAGCGAACGTGCTGCGTGTTTTATTTTCCCCCTAAAGTTTATCTGATAATATCCTTTGCTAACTTTGTCTCGTCTGGTAAGATAAAGTCCAAATATTTGTAGTCAAGCAATTTGAAAAAAAAAAAAAATAACTATCACATAGTAAAGGCACAATTATTTGTATCTGAATTTGTATGAATATCCATCTCATCTCATCTCATCTCGATCCTTTTCTACCTTGCGGTGTCGAGGTGAAGTATAATTTACTGGAAAGCACCTGTCTGTGTGCTTGGTAAATGAGCATTCCCAGGGACTCTGTTATTACCTCTGTCCATCGCTTGCATGGTCGGCCTCTTCTTCGCTTCCCGCCTGGTCTGTACATCATTGCTTGCTGTGGTCTACTGTCTGCTGACCTCCACGTTATATGGCCAAACCATTTCACCTGTTGTCTATTAATGAAATCCAGAGCTACTGCTACCCCAATTTTCTTTTGAATTTCATTGTTATTGTTATAATAAGAGCCCGTCGCATGAATCTCGTTTCTGTTGTAATTTTTCTTTTCTCTTTCTCTGTCATTGTTCAGGTCTGACATTGATAACACAGGGTTGGCAAGAAGATTTTGTCATTAAGTGCGCTTTGGGTTTCTATTGATACATGTTTATTTCTTAGTATTGGTACTATTTACCCAATAAGTTGTTTTGTTTTGTTTGTTACCTGAACGTCTATTTGTGTCTCGTCTAAACTTTCGCAATCAGTGCCGGTGCAGATGATCTTCCATACCTTGTGGCGTTGGCAGACATATTTTTTCCACAACCTCCTGTCTCATCTATACTTTCACATCCAATTCTGACACAGATGATCTTACATACCTTCTGGCATTAGTTAGTAGTCATGACTATTCAGAATCTTTTGTGCACTTTTAGTTAATTCTGGCATAGATGATGTTTGCTATGATGTCATGGAAATGCCATGATGTCAAGCTGCCCAGTATCTTCTCTCTCGGTCTCCCTCTCCTCTGTACCCCTTCAACTTTCCCACTGTCTCTGTGTATGCCAGTTTTCTCCTTCTCATGACCTAACCAAAGAATGTAGAATGTCTGAATTGGACAATCAGTTCTCGTCGTCAGTTAGCTTCTTTCAAGACATCTTCATTGCTTTTTTTATCTGTCCAGGGCTATATGTCTCTGACTAGGGGTAAACAAACGAACAAAAACTGCCTACAAGAATCATGTTTGTAGTCATCGTTGAGGGTAGAGAGAGAGAGAGAGAGAGAGAGAGAGAGAGAGAGAGAGAGAGAGAGAGAGAGAGAGAGAGAGAGAGAGAGAGAGAGAGAGAGAGAGAGAATCACTTTGATTGTGGTCCCATCTGTCAGCTATTTGTTCGACCGTATTCTTACTGTGAATTTGGAAAGCATTGCAGAAGCATTTCCTATTTGTTTGCTTAGTTCTGTAACAAGGCAAAGATCGTCTGCGATTCATACGCCTAAGTACTTAACTTATATCTATGTCCTGTCTCTGTCGTATGGATATAAATAAATTTAATGATAACAATAATGTTGTTAGGATGAGTATTACCATCATCATCAATCGGTCTGTGCTTTACAGAAAGTGACTGTCGTTACACATGCCTCATAGGACTTTAAAGTGCCTGGTTTCTTTGGCAGAGCAATAAAAATAGATTTTAATAGGTCATTGGGAATGTACCCACTGTTATGAACAATTTTGACCAATAGAATAGCCATTTTCCATCTCCAAGAACATTTTCTTCACAGGCGAGCTACAGTTCGCTCAGTGGAACTATCGAATATTGTGCAGTCCGGTCGAATTCGACATTCCTCTGTCTCATTTTCATCAGGTTAGTTCTGTTTAACCTTGGAGAGAGAGAGAGAGAGAGAGAGAGAGAGAGAGAGAGAGAGAGAGAGAGAGAGACAGACAGAGAGAGAGAGAGAGAGAGAAATACAGAAGGAGACAGAGAGATAAAGGAGAGTATCTGTGCTTGTGTGTATGTGTGTGTGTATGTAGTATATCTCTCCCTTAATATATGTCTTCCTATTTGTATTGCTAAATGGATTTCACATTCATTAGGCATAGTGCACAACAGCTGTGTGAAAGATGAGTGGCTGGAAGGGCCGAATGTCTGACAGGCTGGACTGTCCCATCTGTCTGTCTGTCTGTCTGTCTGTCTGTCTGTCTGTCTGTCTGTCTGTCTGTCTGTCTGTCTGTCTGTCTGTCTGTCTGTCTGTCTGTCTGTCTGTCTGTCTGTCTGTCTGTCTGTCTGTCTGTCTGTGTCTGTCCTGTCTGTCTGTCTGTTCTGTCTGTCTGTCTGTCTGTCTGATGAGTGATGTCTGTCTGTCTGTCTGAATGTCTGTCTGTCTGTCTGAATGTCTGTCTGTCTGTCTGTCTGTCTGTCTGTCTGTCTGTCTGTCTGTCTGTCTGTCTGTCTGTCTGTCTGTCTGTCTGTCTGTCTGTCTGTCTGTCTGTCTGTCTGTCTGTCTGTCTGTCTGTCTGTCTGTCTGTCTGTCTGTCTGTCTGTCTGTCTGAATGTCTGAGTGTCTGTCTGAATGTCTGAATGTCTGTCTGTCTGTCTGTCTGTCTGTCTGTCTGTCTGTCTGTCTCAGTCTGTCTGTTTCTGTCTCAGTCTGTCTGTCTGTCTGTCTTTCTGTCTCAATCTGCCTGTTTCTATCTATCGGTCTGTCTCTCTCAATCTGCCTGTTTCTGTCTGTCTGTCTGTCTGTCTGTCTGTCTGTCTGTCTGTCTGTCTGTCTGTCTGTCTGTCTGTCTGTCTGTCTGTCTGTCTGTCTGTCTGTCTGTCTGTCTGTCTGTCTGTCTGTCTGTCTGTCGTGTCCATCAGTCTGTTTGTAGGTCTGTGGGTGTTGAAAATGACTAACTATTGCGTACGTCTACACCTAGGAAGACGACCTGACCTTCCGTGTGAGAACTAACCACAGCCTCGCAGGGACGGAGTGGACACGAGCTGCCAGGTTCAAACTCTATGACACCACCAGGTAGGATTGCAGACGCACACACAAACTTTGACACCACCAGGTAGGCTTGCGGACGCACACAGAAACTTTGACACCACCAGGTAGGCTTGCAGACGCACACACAAACTTTGACACCACCAGGTAGGCTTGCAGACGCACACACAAACTTTGACACCACCAGGTAGGCTTGCAGACGCACACACAAACTTTGACACCACCAGGTAGGCTTGCAGACGCCCACACAAACTTTGACACCACCAGGTAGGCTTGCAGACGCACACACAAACTTTGACACCACCAGGTAGGCTTGCAGACGCACACACAAACTACTGCCCTTTTCAACCCAAGACATTTCATTTTAATAACTGCTCTCCTGCAGTTGCCTTTAAAGGGACGGTTGACACACTGTGTTGTGGTTTACCGTCAGGCAGCAATATCGGTACATTTTGGCCCAACTCAGCCGATTTTGGCAAGACTATAATTATTCCTTTCCTTACCACATGCTTAAAGAGCACACGGTCGATTTATCCTCCCTGTCACCACTCGCAGATTGTACCTGCTCTCATCTGAGTAACCCCTCGTCTTGCTTTTCTCACGAGTCTCCATTTGTGTGCAGAGCCCGGCGACACTGTTAGCTGCTTCATTCATTCCAGGTACGTGTTTTCAAAATATTCAGTGAACTTGCTACCTTGTCTAAAAAGCGAGAGATCACTTCTGCCTTGTGCACTTGCAGTACACCCCAAAATGGGAGCAGTCCAGCCAGCCTATCTGTCTGCTCATTCCCAAATACACCAACATATCTCAGAGAACTATTTATGTGGCTTATCACTTGTGACCTCTGAATCCAGCTTTTGATGTCAAATTTTTGCAGTGTTGCAGCTAAATATATAAAAATAACAGATCGTTTACTCTATATTTGGTGTTGAAGACGAAGCACCATGTTGTGACAGCAAGATGCATGAGTACGGCCAGGGTATCTTAATCGACTACTTCCATTAACATTTCCGCGTGGGTTACGGGGCCATATTATAGGGAAAACAAGAATAGACCCACTGCCTACCCAAAAGCATGTCGTAAGAGTCGACTAATTAGGAGCTTCTTTCGAAGTCGGAGTGCATCTGCCTGAGAGGCAAGGAACCAACAGTCTGCATAAAAATTAGTCAGATCTGTTGAAGGGATGCACACCCAACACTCAGGTTCTGGAACAGGACTGCAGTCTAGAACTGGACGAACAACCAGAACTTTCCGCTGGAGTTTACAGCCGGTGAACGCGAAGAAGAAGAAGCAAAATCAACGACTATGGAAATTGTAGAATCGACTGGTTAGTGTTGGCACCTCCAGCGGTTGCCCTATGCATTTATGCATGTGCATAGTTATAGATGATGCCATGACTAAATGTTTGTTAACTTTTTTTTTTTAATGTGGCGGTGAGATGCACTTTCTCTGATTTACCATGGCACGCGAATGGAGCAGGGTTAAGGTGAGTCGTTTTCAGTGAAGTTAAAGCCTCGACTGCCGACAGCAAGAGATCAACAAAGTGAACACAATTGTTTGTTCCCTAAACAGAAAAGGCAACGGTCAACTGCTGGACGACATTTTCTCATCCATTCCGGGCAAGAACAACCATGGAGGGAACCTGAGTCTTACAGTCTTTGGGGAACACATGTATGACCCAGCGTACACTGACAGTGAAGTGCTGTTGAACTCCGCTTATTACCATCGGTCTTACAAGACAATCCAGCCTGGAGCTGGAGGCGGTGAGGTATGCGGTTTGTGCTGTGTGGCTTTTCAGGGAGTCGTTTCTAGTTGTGAATTACTGCACTGGGTTGCATTTTCTTTTTCTTCGTTTTTTTCTCCTCCTCCAACTTCTTATCTTCTTCTTCTTCTTCTACTTCTTTTCTTGCTTCTTCTTTTCCCTCTTCTCCCCTCCTCCTATTTCTTCTACTACCACCACCACCACCACAGCAACAAAAACTACTACGACTGCTGCTACTACTACTACTGCTGCTACTGCTGCTGCTACTACTACTGCTGCTACTACTGCTACTACTACTGCTGCTACTGCTACTACTGCTACTACTGCAACTACTGCTACTACTACTATTACTACTACTACTACTACTGCTGCTGCTACTACTGCTGTTGCTACTGCTACTACTACTACTACTACTACTGCTGCTGCTACTACTGCTGCTGCTAATGTTACTACTACTACTACTACTTCTATGTACTATTACTTATGAAAGAACTGCTACTTCTTCTGCATCATCATGATGTGCCCTCCTGTTTATTCCTCTAAGTAAGTTAGTTGCATATCCTTTACAGGACGTTGCAGAACCAACCCCAGGATTTCATGCCTATTGTGGTTTTTCTAGGCAAATTTACGTCTAGTAGTTTGCCATTGCTTTTTAGACGGTCGTCTTCTCGATACCACTGTCGAAACCAACGCAACGAACATTTATTTTCACTCTTCTTTACCATTTCGACAACTGATGGTCTTACATGCTTCCCTGCAGCCTCTGTCTAGGATTTATTTTCACTGCCTACCTTTTGTCACTCTAACCCTTCCCCCAGAAAAAGTCTTTCAAAGCCAAAAATTAAATGAAAATCCTAAAAGTTTTAACATAAATAAATAAAATAAGAAACTATTCGTATTTAGACAAAGAAGATGGTAAACTGTTTGATTTGAATTCTTATTCTTCTTAAGTTTTTGTTTAACATTCCGCTTTACCGTTTTGGGTGTCAAGGGAGACACAAGGCGGTTCCGTCACTTCTGCCAACCTCGACCACAGGCACATTGTGCTGTTGTAGAGTTTCTCTGATTTTATTTTCCCATCTTGTTCTTGATCTACTTCGTGCTCTACATCGCTTTTTTTTTTTTTTTTTTAGTGCATGCCTTGTATAGTTTGAGGTCAGATGGCATTCTTTGTAAGTAGGCTAAATATTTCAATTGCTGTTTTTGTATGTAATTTAGAACTGATTCTGTGTCGACTTCTTCTGTTATGATCTCATTGCTGATTGTATCTCTTCTGGTCACTTCTGCAGTCGTTCTCATACATCTCATTTCCATTTTGGGTAAATGTCTTTTCTTGTTCGTTGTGAGTGGCCATGTGTGCAACCGCTGGAATTGAATATTCTTTGTATGCGATATTTCTTTGGACTAATCGGGATTATCTTGAGCTATGCGAGATTTGGGGAGGGGGGATAAGTGGGTGTTTAAGCTGCCCCAAAACTTGTTGGATTTACTTCTACAATTCCTCTCTAGTTTGCAGAATTAGGTTTCAACGATGGGAATTTGTGGACGGCCATGACAACACAATCGAGAGTGGCGCCCTTCGAAGCAGAGGAGTGTAACTTTGTGTAAGTATGTTTTACTTTAAGAGTCACAGTGACAGGGTGGCTAAATACTTACCTAATGGCACAAAGGCTTTCCTGTTCGAATACACACCTATACATATTTTTAAAGATGACATTGGAATCGAAAACTTGTCAGAAAGTCTTAGTCAAATTCTGGGTCTGACCCAGCCTAAATCTGGACATCGACACAGTCTATATTTGGTTTTCGACCCAGTCTAAATCTTGGTTTCGGCCCAGTGTAAATCCTAGTATGGAGTAATGTTCTGGGAAGTAAAAGTGACCGGCGTGACGTTGACCAAATGAACCCTTCGAATGTCTATTTGCCATTCCAAAAATGGTTGTAGCATAAATGTTATTCTCTGCACAATAAAGCCGAATAAGTTTATCGCCGAGCTACACATAGAACTTACACAGATAGCGTTGTCGTCCTTACCGGTATGCGACTGCAGGTTACACCTGGTTTATCTCAGAATACTGTGGTAAACCTTTAAGTAGAGGCCGGCGGGGACAAACTGACCGGTCGATTGATAGAGCGGGGACTAGCGTGATTTGGTGCCGACACGGTGGTCAAAGATTTAAAGTCAAATATAAGGGGAATCATCATTTTTAGTTCTAGGCAGTTTTAACAGTATTATAGACTACTGGGCAAACTATTCTGCGTAGGCCCTACGTGACGTCTCACTGGTTGCGAAATGTAACTTGTAGATATTATTAAACGTATATTTATTTTAGTGACACTTCAACAAAACTATTCTCAAAACATAAACACGGATGACGAAGTTACTTTGAATTTCCTGTTTTTAACACGCCTGTCTGGTATTTATTATCACAGACTTGCTTTATTTTGGCTTGAATTCCTGGTTTTTGTGATGTCATTTTTCTTGGATTTGAGTGAAAACCAGTTCAAAGGATACTGCAACATGTTGCCACAAGGCATATTTTAAAAAATACGTTTCAGTCTAAAAAAATGTTTGCCTTTACAGTTTGTTACTTTACTGTGCTTTTTCTTGACACTGTTTCCTTCGCTTTACTTCTATTTAGTCCATTTGATTTCCCTTAAATCCATTTTTCGTTACTAGACTTTCCTTTATTTAATTTTACCTAACTTTACATCAGGTCACTCTAGTTTCTTTTTTTACTTTAAACTGTTATCCACACGTTTAGGCTGTTGTGCATGTGGGCTAGACCTATATTTTGTAGATCAATCAGCACTTCGTGGATGACGTGGTCAGCATCACACCGGCTGCCTTTACTTCCCAGGACTACACTTAGTGCCCACTCAAGGCTGGGTCTACCTGGACGCCAAGGTCACTGTGATCTTCTGATTATTTCGCTAACGTTCTGGCCGCTTCACCACGGGGACTCTCCTACTTTTCTTTATTTTGCTTTATTCTATTTGACTTTTCATCACATCACTTCACTCCAGTTTACTTCTCCCAACTTTCATCTAATTTTCTTACATCTAAATTGACCAGTGCCCAGACATGTAGTAGTGTTCTTGTTAGTCTGGTGAAACATTGAACAAGTGGTTTAACATTACTATAGGCAAGTCAGGGAGCGAAAGTCGGTCCGTCACTGCCAAGACGGCCATCTTCGAGTGTCCTACGCCATTCCCCTGGAGGTCATCTACCTGTCACCTCTGCTATCCTGGAACCCTTACAACCTGGTGCTACATAACGTAAGAAACGTGGTTGTGGAAGTTGTGTTGCTGTTCTGTTACTTGTACTGCTGGGGTCTCCGTGGCGGTGGCCAAGCCATTTGCTTCGCGCTCAAAAGATCGTGGGTTCGTTTCACTCCTGTCACGTTCTGTTTACAAGTTCAGTTTTTGTGGAGATCTCCGCGAATCGTAGTCGAGGATACGGAGTTTGTGCTTTGTGCGACACTGTCGGCAGGCGGCCAGCCTTTCTGTGGAGAGGGACTGAGTCATTAGGGTCAAAACTTTATGGAATGAAGTCGATCCTCTATTATTTTTAGTGGTGGTGATGACCGGTAGTGGCAGTTAGTGTCGTGTTTCCTCGAGAATAAAAGCCTTACCCCAAAAGATCATGATTTTCAAGATGCTCAAAATAAGCCCAGCCTCTGATATGTACCCTAGTTACGAATGTCAACTAGATAGACGTTATTTTTTTTGTCAGCTGCAACCAGTAACAAACGTATAGCACTTTAAAGTGATAAGCTTAGAAATACACGTAAATGCATAATATTGTTGGCGTTAATGTTTGAATATACATAAAAAAAATAAAAGTAACTTTCATGACTGTAAAAAAAAAGAACATCACCTGAAAAAAAAAAACCCAATTCGTCTTCTGGTGCAGAAATTAACGTAAAACCTGATCTTACTAACAGGAAACAGGATCTGCGTGGTGACAGTAATAGTAGAAGTAGCAGCAGTGGTGGTAGTCGTGGTAATAATAGTTGTGGTGGTGGTAGTAGTAGTACAAGTAATGGTAGTAGTATTGGCAGTAGCAGTAGTAGTAGTAGTAGTAATAATAATGATAATAGTAGTATTAATAATTAGTAGTAGTAGTAGTAGTAGTAGTAGTAGTAGTAGTAGTAGTAGTAGTAGTAGTAGTAGTAGTAGTAGTAGTAGTAGTAGTAGTAGTAGTAGAGTAGAACTAGTAGTAGTATTAGTAAGTAGTAGTTATATTAAGTAGTAGTAGTAGTAGTAGTAGAAGTAGTAGTAGTAGTAGTAGTAGTAGTAGTAGTAGTAGTAGTAGTAGTAGTAGTAGTAGTATTAGTAGTAGTAGTAGTAGTAGTAGTAGTAGTAGTAGTAGTAGTAGTAGTAGTAGTAGTAGTAGTAGTAGTAGTAGTAGTAGTAGTAGTAGTAGTAGTAGTAGTAGTAGTAGTAGTAGTAGTAGTAGAGAAACAAATGCAGCAGCAGCCACATTAGTGGTAGCTGTGGTAGCACTGGAGAAACAGAATCAACAGCAGCAGCAATAGTAAACGTGGCAGTAATAGTAGTAGTAGCATTAATAATTCTAGTAGTTGTAGCAGGTGCTGTAGCACCAGCAGTGGCAGCAATGGCAGCTGTAGCAGTCGCAGCAGTAGTAGAAAAAGCAATACCACTATCAACGGTGTCAGCAGTGGATTATGTAGTGCTGTTTTTGATTATGTGTTGTTCTTTGGCTCTTGTAGTAGTAAAGACGGCGTTAGTGCAAACACAGTCTTCCCTGCTATTTGTCAGTATGAAGTGGTGAAAGGATGCCCTGCTACATAGTCATTGTGAAGGTAATACTTTGTCACTGAGTCTCTATATCCTCTTCACGGCTATAGATGCAAGCTCTTCGTGGCTCAGTTAGCGCGAACATCAAGCAACACGTCGTAATTAGGAAATAAAACGCAGGCAATCTTTAGATGACCAATCAACAGAGACTAAATTAAAGGCTAGGACCTACCATTGCTAAAGTTTGAACCTGGCCTGCTGTCAGCTGACGCTCCTAAATTTGTTTCCACCTAGGTTTTGCTGACGCAAATTTCCCAGTTCTGGATTTTTGAACCCAAGGATTCCGTTGCCCAGCAGTTAAGCTGAGTGCTTGGTGCGACACTGCGAGTTGTTGATTTCATGTGGATGTCCCCCCCCCCCCCCCCGCCCAGCCCCTTTCAGTTGTGCCAATGGCGTGTTGCCAAATGCATTAACACTGAGGAGGTTGGGAAGAAGGAATGGGTGGGATGACAGATAACGTTATGATTGGCGTGCTCTTGTGCGGATGTAATGCGGACTTTCTGGATTGCGCCAACAGCGAGCTGCTATTCTAGCCTGGGAACGTTATTGTTGGCCCATCTGACAGCTGTCTTATTCCTTTTTACTATAAGTAAGCAAGCTTCAAGGTTTAACTGTGACTGACAAATTGTTTACTAGTTTTTAAATAGGACAACGACGGACATTTTGTGTGGTTTCCACCTGCACAGAAACGGAGCAGTTAAAAGGCTACCTGTCTGCACTGAAGTTTGAAGCCAAACTAACTAATTCATAATTACGTACACATAGATCAGAGCTTTCCAAACTTCTTATGTTGGTGACATATTTTTAGACAAACATAATTTCACCACACAATAATTCAGTGTGCTATCAATTCAGAGGTTAAGCTAGCCCCTCATAAGAGATACGGACACACATACCAGAGCTATTCAAAAATCGACCTCCGACTGGGCGGTAAAGCTGAGCAAGAGAATTTGTGTTGACCCGCCAATTTTGGGTTGATTTTGAAATAGCTTTTGGGTGACACACGTTAACACTGCACACTAACGTGTCACGATGCACAGCTTGAAAAGCTCTGACTTAGAAGTTGCGTCATTAAAGTCTATCTTTCTAAACGCGATCTAACTTAAAACATCTAGGATACAACATCTTCAACAAAGAATGGAAGAAATGGTAGAAACGAGACGCTGGCGTTGGATGGGACTGATAAAGATCATTATTATATGACGCCAGTGGAGTTTTTTTCAGGTAACAGTAATTTGAGACTTTATTACATCTTCTGTAGTAGAATGTCATGTGGTGATCCAATGTTATCTTCTGTGGTAAAATGTTATGTGGTGATCCAATGTTATCTTCTGTGGTAAAATGTCATGTGGTGATCCAATTTTATCTTCTGTGGTAGAATGTCATGTGGTGATCCAATTTTATCTTCTGTGGTAAAATGTTATGTGGTGATCCAATTTTATCTTCTGTGGTAAAATGTCATGTGGCGATCCAATTTTATCTTCTGTGGTAGAATGTCATGTGGTGATCCAATTTTATCTTATATGGTTGAATGTCATGTGGTGATCCAATTTTATCTTCTGTGATAGAAAGTCATGTGGTAATCAAATTTTGTCTTCTGTGGTAAATTGTCATGTGGTGATCCAATTTTATCTTCTGTGGTAATGTTATGTGGTGATCAAATTTTATTTTCTGTGGTAAAATATAATGTGAAGTGATGAAGTGATACCTACTGTAGTAAAGTGTGATGTGTGGTCATCGTGTTTGGTCTTCAACAGTAACATGTTGTATTTTGTGATATCTTCTGTAGTGAAATGTGATGTGTGGTGATCAAGGGTCTCTTCTTAGTAAAATGTATTGTGTGGTGAGCGTGTGATACATAAATGAGGTAATATAGTTGCGCGATGAGCGTCATATGTAAAATGTAATATGTGATTACCAAGGGATATCTTGTCTTCTGTAGTAAATTGTGATGTGTGGTGGTCAAGTGTTATATTCTGTAAAAAAAAAAAAAAAAAAACTGATTTCTTGTGAATAAGTGACATCTTCCATAGTGATATATGATGTGTGGCAAATGTGTGATATCTTCTGTGTTGAAATGTGATGTTTGATGTTATACCAGACTGTAGTCCTACGACAGCACATTTATTTTATATACTCTCAGAATCATTGTCTTGTCCCTTCTATTAAAAATTCAACTAACCACCCCTGTTATACCCGGTTATATCCGTCGTTTGAGACCCCTGTTGTAACCGTCTGTTAAGACCCCTGTTGTAACTGTCTGATAAGACCTCAGTTGTAACCACCTATTAAGACCTCAGTTATAACCACCTATTAAGACATCAGTTATAACCACCTATTAAGACCTCAGTTATAACCACCTATTAAGACATCAGTTATAACCACCTATTAAGACATCAGTTATAACTACCTATTAAGACCTCAGTTATAACCACCTATTAAGACCTCAGTTATAACCACCTATTAAGACCTCAGTTATAACCACCTATTAAGACAGTCAGTTAAGACATCAGTAAACCACCTATTAAGACCTCAGTTATAACCCTATTAGACCTCACCTATTAAGACCTCAGTTATAACCACCTATTAATCCTCAGTTATAACCACCTATTAAGACTCCAGTTATAACACCTCAGTTTTAAGAAGACCTCAGTTATAACCACCTATTAAAGACATCAGTTAAGACCTCAGTTGTAACCACCTATTAAGACCTCAGTTATAACCGTCTGTTAAGACCTCAGTTATAACCACCTATTAAGACCTCAGTTGTAACCACCTATTTAGACTCCAGTTATAACCGTCTGTTAAGACCTCAGTTATAACCAACTATTAAGACCTCAGTTGTAACCACCTATTAAGACCTCAGTTATAACCGTCTGTTAAGACCTCAGTTATAACCGTCTTTAAGGCCCCAGTTATAACCACCTATTAAGACTCAGTTATAACCGTCTGTTAAGACCTCAGTTATAACCTTCTGTTAATGCCTCAGTTATAACCACCTATTAGGACCTCAGTTATAACCACCTATTAAGACTTCAGTTATAACCGTTTGTTAAGACTTCAGTTATAACCACCTATAAAACCTCAGTTATAACCGTCTGTTAGAACCTCAGTTATAACCGTCTGTTAACACATCAGTTATAACCAACTATTAAGACCTCAGTTATAACCGTCTGTTAGAACCTCAGTTATAACCGTCTGTTAACACATCAGTTATAACCAACTATTAAGACCTCAGTTATAACCGTCTGTTGACCTTAGTTATAACCACCTATTAAGACCTCAGTTATAACCACCTATTAAACCTCAGTTATAACCGTCTGTTAAGACACCTGTTATAACCACCTATTTAGACCCCAGTTATAACCGTCCTTTAAGACCCCAGTTATAACCGCCTATTAAGACCCCAGTTATAACCGCCTATTAAGACCCCAGTTATAACCGCCTATTAAGACCTCAGTTATAACAGTCTGTTAAAATCTCAATTTACCATCACAATTGGAAGCCGCGGTGATTTAGCACCTAGACCAGGCGTGTGTGTGTGTGTGTGTGTGTGTGTGTGTGTATGTGTGTGTGCGTGTGTGTGTGTAGCCCACTGTCCCTTTTTATATGAAACAATCGCACAGAGCTTCCACATCTTAGAAATATCATAATCATGTGCCATGCTAATGAGTATAGACGGTCATGATTCGCCATCCTAAACGATCAACAGAATCACAGATCAGGTCAGTGTACTTGTCCAGTCCAATGCGCCTGGCTAAGCCATCAATGAATTTATGTCTTTGCTTTTTCCCTGTCCTCTTTTAATCAATCGTTTAGTGACGGCACGTTTTTCGTAAGTTCGTGTCTTTAGTGGAATTCAAGAATTGCAAGATGACTTATACATACTTTTTTTTTTTGCCTTCAATTTTTGGTTCAGCATATGGTTTGGACGCATTTTTTTTTTCAAAACAAGTTAGGGTTTTCCACTATCTACGAAATCTAAGAGCCCCAAGATAACAGTTTTATGATAGAGGGGTATTTCTCAGTGCTGCATGTGTTATTCGTGATCCGTGTTTGAAATCTAACTTTGTCCTCGTGGCCTCCAGGGCCCAAATTTGTGTGTGTGTGTGTGTGTGTGTGTGTGTGTGGGGAGGGGGATAATAGATCAGCTGCCTCCCTAAAAACACCTGGTTAAGGCCACCAATTAGGGTTGTCCCTCCCGAGAGGCGAGAAACAAACTGTCTACATACAAGTAAGCCAGATCTGTAACATCGATGTGCACCCAGAATTCAAGTTCTGGACATAGACTAACGTCCAAAGGTGAACGTAGAACCAGAGTTTACAGCTGGTGATCGAATAGAAGAAGAAGAAGAAACTCGTATAGTTTTTCGCAAGTTTGTTTTTACTGCTTCAGACCATGATATTGAGGCGTATTTTATAATAGGCTTAACTGCTCCAGTGCACATTTGCCTTACTGTTTTTGTGGTGCTCCCCAGTATGTTCCATCCCGTTTTTCTTTTCATTGCATCGAATCTTTATAAGGCTTTTGATCGCATTATATTTCTTCTACTGAGAATGGCTTCCGGGACATGTGATGTCTAGTTTAACTCCAAACACGTAGGTTAGTCTAAGATGTTGGCTGATTTTTGTAAACACTGTTCATATTCTTTCTGTGTGTAGAGGACTGTTGCTATGAGATTTGTTTGTTTTAGAAGTAGGCCTTCTGGTCGGATTTGAATGAGCTACCATAAAACCATAGTCAATATTACATGTTCTCGGTTAACGCCGAATGTTATGCAGTGTAAACCGAAATCTGACATCCCGTATTGTGCCAACGACTTCGGTGGAAGAGCGCATTCAGGAGAGAGACTAGCTATACTTATGCTAGAGTGATGAAATGAAACCTGAAAATAATGTTATGTCAAAGCTTACCAGGCCCATAGCCATGGCTGGCAGTTGCTCTAGGGTTGAAACTGATAGGCAGAACATTACTCTTCTCATCCAGCAGATTTTCTTTTTTGCATCATTTTTTTCTCTATCTATTCGCCATGCAGAATATTTCTTATACACAAATTTATATTGTAAGTAACGAGTAACTGATGCTTGTAGAATTTCATCTCAGTCCCGTCTTCTGTCCAGGGTCGAAAGTATTTAAATATTAACGGAACCTACGAATAAAATTTAAATTATTGTTAATTAAAAGGATAAACCTGTTTGGTTATAACCGGAGATTTTCTCGCTAATAAAGGGGTCAGAATTAACCAGAAAGTGTCTAAAATGGTGTAGATATTCAGCACAAAAAGTATATTATAACCATAGTACTATAAAATGGTGCCGGTACTGCGTACCACCAGAAACAAAGCTCTCGATATAAAAAAAAAAGCCAATCACTATGATTGTAATCTGTTACTCTTCATTAATAATGGTATAAATGGTGTATCAACGTGGTCTCTCTCTCTCCTTCTCTCACTCTCGCCCTGTCTCTTTTGTCTTTCTGCTCTCCTCCCTCAACTTCCCTATTTCATTCAGATCACCCTCCCCTTCCTCAGCGGCTGAGGCTACTACCACCCCTTCGACCGTTCCAGCGCGCCCCCACCCCCTTTCAGCCCGCCAACTGCGGCTGAGGCTACTACCACCCCTTCGACCGTTCCAGCCCCCCCCCACCCCACCCCCTCGACCGTTCCAGTGCCCACCTCCCCCTGAATTGGATCCATGCAACTACCATCCCCTGGACAGTCTCTAGTTAGTTGTTTACTAAAGAACCCACCAAGTGCCCATTAGTCAATAAAATATAAATCTAGCCCTATATGCCTAAAACGCCTCAATGCGTTTAAACGGGTCTTTAATTTTAACCATCCCAATTATAATCTTCCATTAAAAACATTGTACATCTACTCTGGGGTGGGGGAGGAGGTTAAATATATGTATGTTATGTGCTCTGTTGTAGCAGGCCATCAGGACAAGAGAGATCCGGCAGACACTGTCAGAGATGAGATGCTCGTCCTTGACCCCGAGGGCAAGGTGAGGAGAGTCACTGCTTCTGGGACGAGAATCTTTCTTCCGGAAATTCCCGGTAATATTGTCGTTTTTTTTGTTTCCTGGCTTACTTGCTGTCTGCTTGCTTGTCACTGTATAAGTTTGGACTTAACAAGAGAAAAAAGGGGCGGGGTGGACGAGAATGTCGTTCGCCAGTCATACAGTTTATAAAGAAAATACAGATGAGTGGGTGTGGTAAACCGAATACCCTGGCACCAACTGCAATCGGGAGTCACGCTAAAGAAATAAAAAACGCACAGAGCACAATGCAGAATATGGAATGACGCTATCAAGAACAACCTTAAACAAATGAAGACCATCTTATAAAACGGATTAAATTTTCCTGCTTTATTTTATGTTGATGTAACTTTGAAGTATTGCAAACGGAGTGATAGAGCAAAAATTGTGCATTTTATAAAACCAAGTACACTTTATGTAATAACTTCTTGTCACTGGGAGTTTGATAAAGAATTCATGCATGCTGGAAAAAGATAAAGTAAAGGAGCCTTTTCCCACGCCTTCAGCAGCATTAGGAAAATAGGAACAGACATATATTTTAAAGACCAATCGGTCCTGTGGGGTGGGGGGGGGGGGGGGGGGTGGGGGTCGATGTGGTCAGCATCACGTGTGGCCGCCTTTATTCAGTATGACTGTACCTGGTACCCATCCAAGCCTGGATCGACCAGAGTGCCAGTGTCATTTTTGAAGAAAGGAAAGTCCAGCTCCGTCATTATCCGAACCCACACTTTCCTTTTGGCAGGCTAGCGTCTTGTCACTGCACCACGGTGGCTTTCGCCTGCTATACAGAGCTAGTTTTAATACACGATTGTCAATCCTAGACCATGAATACACATGCCAGACTGTCTTTAAGGCCTCGGAGAGAGCCGCCCACATTTTATTAAGAAAAAAAAATTGAGGGCTCAAAGACAACTTATTACAAATATCTGAAAGAGACAGTCATGTTTTGATAATATTATGAGAAGAATGACACTTGAACATGCGGTGACCACTGGAAAGATGTGTAGAAAAACAAGACAAACAAAGACAACGCGATAGCCTTTTTGTCTTGGCTTGGAAGGGTGTCAGTACACGAGCTGATACATGCTGTTAAAGACCGTAGATTGTGGAGTGGCATGATCTCCCACGCCAGTGAGGCAAGATACTTGATGACGATGACGATTGTTTGTGTCCGCACAAGTTAGTAAATAGTTTCTTGTAGTTAAGGAAACATTTTCGTGTTACCAGGAGTGGGAAAAATCAAAATTAGAATGAGGTATCCTATAGCGCCCGTCTATGGCGTAGGAAGCTCTGTATGGAAAGAGTTAAATGCGCTGAAAGACAAGCTTTTGGGAAGTACTGGCAGCCAGCCTTCCTCTGTTGTTTTCCAGGTGAGTTTCTGTTTTAAAATATCTTCTTCTTTTTCGCTTTCACCGGCTGTAAACTGTGGTGGAAAATTCTGATTGTTCGTCCACTTCTTGACACTGGTCCTGTTCCAAAACTCGAGTGCTGCGTGCGTATCTGTTTTACAGATCTGACTCATTTGTATGCAGGTTGTTGGGTCCTTACCTTTCAGTCAGATGCACTCCGATTAAAAAAAAAAAGAAGACCCTAGTTTTATAAAGTGTGATTGTGAGCTGGGAGAAGTTATGTGTACGCTAGATTATCAGAATGCTGAAAGAAAGTGAAAACTGTAAAGACAAGAGAGCAAGTAATAAAGACAATAAGGAGAAAGGACAGATCCCCCAACCCTTTTTTGTGTGTATGTGGTTTTCTCTAGGTGTGCTACCCAGTACAGGTAGGATTTCCTCTCTAATATTCAGTCCTAATTTTTCTGCGTGGGTTAAGGAGCCTCACTTTAAGGGCGAGAACATACCAACTTCTTTTTCATAAGCATGTCATAAAAAGCAACTAGTTAAGGATTCGCTAAAAGCGTATGTGTTCGACCGAAAGGAGTGAATATCACAGACTCGTAAACCACAACACGGCGTGCCAAAGGCCCCTTCAAGTCCGAACGCAGAAGAAAGAAGAAAAAGAAGAAGTAAAAAAAGAAAAAGAAAAAAAAAGAAGAAGGAGAGGAGGAGGAAGAGGAGGAGAACAAGAAGAAGAAGAATAAGAAGAAGAAGACGAAGAAGAAGAAGAAGAAAAAGAAAAGAAGAAGACAAAGAAAAAGAAGAAGAAAGAAGAAGAAGAGAAGAAGAAGAAGAAGAAGAAGAAGAAGAGAAGAAGAAGAAGAAGAAGAAGAAGAAGAAGAAGAAGAAGAAGAAGAAGAAGAAAGAAGAAGAAGAAGAAGAAGAAGAAGAGAAGAAAGAAGAAAGAAGAAGAAGAAAGAAGAAGAAAGAAGAAGAAGAAGAAGAAGAAGAATAGAAGAAGAAGAAGAAGAAGAAGAAGAAGAAGAAGAAGAAGAAGAAGAAGAAGAAGGGAAGAAGAAGAAGAAGAAGAAGAAGAGAAGAAGAAAGAAGAAGAAGAAAAGAAGAAGAAGAAGAAGAAGAAGAAGAAGAAGAAGAAGAAAGTCAGGGACATTTAATATGGCTCGCTAGGTAGGCCAGCTAACAGACTTAACTACCAAAGACACACTTAAGACACACTCCTGCTGAGTACAAACATAATCTTTAATGTACAATGAACAAACCGACCCTAGACAATTCAACTGAGTAGGCAGTTCCTATCCGAAACCCCTGGCGATGAACAGCTATACAATCAAGAAGAAGAAAAAGATGAAGAAGAAAAAGAAGAAGAAGAAGAAGAAGAAGAAAAAGAAGAAGAAGAAGAAGAAGAAGAAGAAGAAGAAGAAGAAGAAGAAGAAGAAGAAGAAGAAGAAGAAGAAGAAGAAGAAGAAGAAGAAGAAGAAGAAGAAGAGGAAGAAGAAAAAGAAGAAGAAGAAGAAAAGAAGAAGAAGAAGAAGAAGAAGAAGAAGAAGAAGAAGAAGAAGAAGAAGAAGAAGAAGAAGAAGAAGAAGAAGAAGAAGAAGAAGAAGAAGAAGAAGAAGAAGAAGAAGAAGAAGAAAAAGAAGAAGAAGAAGAAGAAGAAGAAGAAGAAGAAGAAGAAGAAGAAGAAGAAGAAGAAGAAGAAGAAGAAGAAGAAGAAGAAGAAGAAGAAGAAGAAGAAGAAAAAGAAGAAGAAGCAGAAGTAAAACATCAACAACAACAAAAAGAGGAGGAAGAAGAAGAACAACACCAATAACAACAATAAAAAATAAAAAAAGTAAAGATCCCTTTTCACGCCTTTCGGCGCATCGGGCATATGGGCAGAGCGTCCCATATTTTTACAGACCATCAGCACTCTGTGGGTAATGTGGTCAGCATTACGCCGGCTGTCTTTACTTTCCCAGGACAGCCCATCCTGGTACCCATTTTAGGCTGGGTCGACCTGCGACGTCCCATACCACGATAAAAATCCACGCAGCCCACGCAGGTTTCGATCGCGGTATGCTGGCTTACGAGTCGGACTCGCAACGCCTTAGCCACGGACGCCGCAATAACAACAATAGGAAGAAGAAAAAGAAACAGCATCAGGTGGAGGTGGAGAAGGAGGATGTGATGAAGATAGTGCTGCAGGTGGTGGTGCAGCTGGATTTCTGGTAGTGGTTGTGGAGGTGGCTGGGGTGAGCCGATGGGGGTGAAAATAGAGGAGCTCGAGGAGGAGGGGGGCGGCGAAGCAGCTGAAGCAGCAGCGACAGAAGTACGATCAGAAGAACTGAAGTACAAATTATTAGGAATTTGTAAAATACATTCATTTTTCAGATGTCCCCAACAAATGTAGACCCTCCTGACGACCACACTCACAAGTTTACTGTAGCGTACCAGGACTTTAGCCACCTTCTGGCTGGACAGAAGATCAACGTGACCACAGAGGAAACCCAAGGACACACTCACAACTTGACCATTGAGTTTGTTCCTCAGAAAAAAATGTGAGCATTTGATTGCGTAAATTATTTTGTTCACAGGAAACTACTTGTATATGTGATTCCGTCAATATTTTATACACAAACAGCATTGTTTTTTATTTGTTGGTATCATTAATACTACTACTACTACTACTACTACTACTACTACTACTACTACTAATACTACTACTACTACTACTACTACTACTACTACTACTACTACTACTACTACTACTAATACTACTACTACTACTACTACTACTACTACTACTACTACTACTACTGCTGCTGCTGCTGCTGCTGCTGCAGCTGCTGCTGCTGCTTCTACTACTACTACTACTACTACTACTACTACTACTACTACTACTACTACTACTACTACTACTACTACCACTACAACTACTACTGTTATTATTACCCTTCGTTTTTTCTGCTCCTCTCACTTCTTCTTTTCTTTTATTTCTTCTTCTTTTCTTCTTCTTCTTCTTTTTCTTCTTCTTCTTCTTCTTCTTCTTCTTCTTCTTCTTCTTCTTTTTCTTCTTCTTCTTCTTCTTCTTCTTCTTCTTCTTCTTCTTCTTCTTCTTCTTCTTCTTCTTCTTCTTCTTCTTCTTCTTCTTCTTCTTCTTCTCTGTCTTTCTGATGTGCAGAACGGTGCCTTTAAACTAGGGCTGCACCGAATATTCGCTTCGTATTTGCTTCGGGGCCGAAAAGTGGACCGATTGACTATTCGGTATTCGGCCGAATATTTGCGGTCGGTCCGAATACGAATAGTAGTTACCTTACACCGGCTTCGATATCTGCAGCAGTAAACCTCAAGGGCTCAGAATGCTAAAGAAGAAGATGACTATTCTGTGCTACTTTATGTGAAGTAAAAGTTCAGCGTACATTTGACATTATGCATGTGTGTGTGTTTTTTTTTTTTTTAGATATATGTTATACACTATACACTATTCGTATTCGTATTCGGCCGAATAGTTGGTCCCGTTATTAGTATTCGACCGAATAGTAAAAATCACTATTCGGTACAGCCCTACTTTCAACCAATGCCAGTGCGTTTAAATTCTCATGATCACCATAGTTTTCTCTTCATTGAGGTTAGGCCATCCAATTGAGCTACTCCAGTTATAAAGAGTCCTTAAGTCTTTCGAAAAACGCCTTGCCTAACACTCCGACTCGTCTGGAGACGTAACGTCCAACAGTTTTATTTAACATTTTAGAGTAACAGTCCTTGCCGTTCCTATCCCTGTTTTCTTGCTAGTATTTATTTCCTGTGGTCACACACGTGTCAGAGATTTAACTGCTTAGACAAACATATGACTTCTCATACGGGTACTTGTGAGAATAAGAGGAACAACTACAAGAGGAAAAAGAAGAAGAAGAAGCAACAACAAGTGGAGGTGGAGGAGATAGTTGTGCAGGTGGATGTTATGGTTGTGGTAGTGGACGTGGCCGAAGTGGAGCTGGAGGAGGTGGTGGTGGTTGCAATGGACGTGATGGTCTAGGAATTCAAGGAGGAGTCACGGCGGAGAAGCAGAAGCAGCAGCGGCAGTCTTCAAGTGCCTTGCCGACTGGCGTGGGCGATCATGGATCTCCACAATCTGCGATCCGCAACTGCGTGTATCAATTCGTGCGTTGACACCACTACGTGCTCCTTAATCTTCTCGCCCTGTCTTCCTCTGTCTCTTCTTCTTCTTCTTTTTTTTCTTCTTCTTCTTCTTCTTCTTCTTCTTCTTCTTCTTCTTCTTCTTCTTCTTCTTCTTCTTCTTCTTCTTCTTCTTCTTCTTCTTCTTCTTCTTCTTCTTCTTCTTTTTCTTCTTTTTCTTCTTCTTCCTCATCCTCCTCCTCCTCCTCAGCATTTAGAGCCCTTGGGGTTTACTGCTGCAGATATCACCCGTCTCCATCCATCTCTCTGGTTAGCCTTCTCTTTGCAGTTGGTGACACCAAGAGTTTGCAAGTCTGTTTGCATATAATCTCTGTATCGTCTTCTTGGTCTGTCTCGTGGTCTACGACCATTTATCTCCCTTGTGTATACATTGTTTACTTCTCTGTTATCTGACATTATTTCAGTATGCCCCAACCATTTCAGTCTATTAGCTCTCATGATGCCAGTGATCAATAGTGATTTTAACAGATTATGAATTTCCTTATTTGCTTCTCACTCTTCATTCACCGCTGTTTGTATCTTTGATGGATCCAAAGATTCGCCGTAAGACTGTTTTAAAAACCTGTAATAAGGCTTCATCTCTTTTAGTTGTGCTCCAAGTTTCAGAGCCATATAAAATGACTGGTCCGTCAACGTTTTATATATTTTGATCTTGGTGTTGTGAGACAGAGATTTGGACTTAAGCAGATGCTGACGGGTTCCTCTGTCTCTCTTTGCACAGATCTGTCCAGTAGTCATAACATGTTCCAAGTTCCCATTTTGTCACAACATTATTAAAAAATAATGATGTTTGTGATAAGTTGTCTTCGAGCACTCGCCTCTTTCAAAACATCTGGGTTGCTCTTCTTGGCTGTCCAAGAAATTTTCAGACTTCATCTGTAAAATCAAATCTCCAGGGTCTCAAGAGATTGTCCGGCTTCAGTTAAATTATTTCCTGTAATCTTGTTCGTATTTTATCGTATTGTATAGTCTTGTAATCTGCCAAATAAGGCTCTCTGGCAGCAACGTTTACTAGTCGCTTGTGTATGGGATAATGCAAAGCTTTTTAATTTTACTTTTCGTTTGCTTTGATATCTTTTTCATCCGATTTTACCCTTAAACTGGTATGATGATTTTGTCATAGTAATGTTCTGTTTTGCAAATGTTGCACACTTGTTTAACAAAACGTGGTGATATAATAATCATGACGATGATGTTGAAAAAACAACAGGTCAGCAATATTACATATGTACTGCAATGACTTTCTTTGATACTTATCATGAAGTCTACTATGATACATTGACAGATACTTCAACACGGCTTGAACAGGAACAAACATTGAGAAACGCCGGAGAGTTGATAAAGATTAAGTGTATTCTCCAACGATGTTCTCTTAATTAAACAATGCACCGGAGATATAACGTCTAGGGACATAGCTATGTCCACAAGCATCTTACATTAGCTAAGCGGAATCCTTGTTGTCAGTACATCTCACTCTTGCACTTCACTGCTCACAAATCAGCATTCACAAACAGCACAGCTCAGCTGACATTCTCGCTTCCATTTCGTGTTGTCATGGATTGATTAGCCAGGTTTCTTCGGTCTAGTGGCTTTAATACATTAACTTGTT